AAGGGCATTGGTCGATGACTCACCAACATTCAACACACACAAGGTGCAAGAGAAGAAGAAGGATACACATACATACATACATACACACACACACACATACACCTACACATATATATATATATATATACATACATATATATATATATATACACACAATATTCATATATATCCTCATACATATACACGTATATGTACATACATACACATACATTCTATTCTGATGTAATACAACTCAGTAATCCCAGCTACTATTGATAAATTTAAGACAATATGAGATATATATTCTTATACACAAAACTCCTTGTGGTCATTGAAACAGCTTTCTAGGATGTGAAGAAGAGGTCATCCATTTAAGAGCCATCACTTCCTCAGACCTGCTTTACTCTGCCTCCACGACACATCTGCACATGTATTTCACTCTTTCCAGTTTGAAATTAGATTTCACTCGTAGTGGTGATTTATTATTATATGGTGTTGACTTGTAATGCTCATTCATGCCTGCAGTCTGCTCTGCTTACTTTTCTTAACACAGTGGGCCCTTAAACGTCAGGAAAAACCTGGTGTAGTTAATGTTCATTAGGCTCATGGATGCTATACATTATGAAGTTGGACAAATCTATGTGAGTGTGTGTCCCTTAACTGCCACTCCACCACCACCCAGCCGACCGCCACCCTCCACTTTGGTATTTCAGCACTTTAATTTACTTCTACTTTAAATTTCACCTGCACTCTCCGTCCTAATATTAAAGGAGGCATTCTTGAGGAGGTCAAGTGACGAGAAGAGGCACTTTGTTTTGTTAAAGTTTTAGATGCCACTCAGTAGTCAAGAGGAGGGTGTACGTGGGAGGTGTCGGCGTCCCTGGCTGTGCCACTCATGAAAAGAAGAAGAAAAAAACCTTGTCAAGTTAATTTGAAGTGAAATGGTAACAAATGAATTTTTTGAAAAGCCACATTCTCCCACTGATATAACACTGGAATACTAGTGAAAAAATATATTAATGGAAAGTTTGCATCTGTGTCTGTGTGTGTTTGTGATTCATACTAAGAAAGGAGAGATTTAAGGAGTGCTAGCTGAAGGACAAGGTCTCGCCCTCCGTATTTTTTCAAAAGCATAACTTGCACACAGCAACACACACGTGCACACAGACACACACTGATTTCTGTCACCTTGACACTCACAAGAGGCAGTTAAAAAGAAATCTGTTTAATAAGACCTCACGCTTATCAGACTCAAGATCCAGTTTATTGCCAGGTACGTTTTCACATACAAGGAATGCACATGAATATAGAAGTAAAGAAAATACAATTAAGAATATTAAAAAAGTTTCTGAAGTTGGATGGGCAATAAGACCAAAATGACCTTTCCATAATGTGGCGTCTCTAAGCAACCAAATTAAATTCACCTCTGTAGCTGATCCTTTAATACCATGCGGTGGATTAAGGAACTTTTCATGCTGCTGTTTGTAACTTTATTTGTGTGAGGATGGAGGTATAAAAGAGCCTGATTGTCCTTACTGTTTTATCGTGACTGAGAATCAGAAAGGAAGATGCAAAGAAAGAGGACTTCCCATTTCCATGAACAAACGCAAGGAACTGACTTGAATAGAGGCCTCGCCTGTGTCTAAATGTATAGGCCTCTGATAGCCAAGCATAGGCCAGGAGTTGTTAAAGAGGTCTTCAGGCCCGTGCTGGATCGCCATGTGTGAGGTGTGTAACCAGAGGCGAGTGTTGAGCGCTGAGATGATGTGTTTTTACAGCGCAGTCTTGCTGTGCTTTGGGATGGCAATAAACCACGGCCTTCAAAGCACAGCCAAGCGCCACTTACTGCTGAGTGCTTCTCTGGTGGTTGGACGAGATTACTCTCAAAACAAAGTGCAGACAGGTTGATTAATAGAAGGGTCTGCAGAGGTGCGTGCCGCAGTATATTTTCACACCCAGCGAACACTCGTACATTTCATTCGCATGGACTTTTATGGGATGATCCTTTCACTGTGTGAGTTTGTCACTTCATAAAAACGGTCCCCCCTCTTTGAGTGTCTTTTAGTGAAAACTTATCAGAGCTGTTACAGACGTGTTGTTTTAATGTCGAGAGAGCGCACTGTGACTTGAGAGGGCAGCACGGTTCACAGACCATATTTGTCCATAGCAGAATTTGGGGTGTCGAGCCTCTAAAAATCTGCACCATATACTCCAAAAATCTTTGCGCAAACTGATATGAATGCGAATGAGATTCATAAATAATACTCTGTTTGCCATCTGGCTGACCAAAGGGATTATTGACCGATGCCGCACTCCTACTGAGACTGTTTTTGACGAATACTGTGCCATAGCGACTCCCATGCTGACCCGGTCCTCTGTTTGCTTTCAGGTTGCTTAGTCCAGTTTCACAGCTGGGCTGAGAATGATGAACATGAAGAAGGATCTGGGATGCCCAATAGCGAGCTGCAGGAGAAGTAGAGAAGCTGTCTGGCCTTCTGGAGGACGAAAGAAACCTCAGCGTGGTGGTCATAACCGCAGGACCTGGTAAAAGACAGAGACGAAGACTGTGACAAGGACAGACGAAAAGGAGACAGCAGCAACAGGGCGGGACCTTCAATCTGGATAAGATGGCCTAGTCTACAGCAGTAATGACGAGAGGGCTCGGGGTGATTGCAGTCGTGGAGGGGAGGTGGTGGGGGGGAGCTGGTGGCAGCGTGCCGTGCGGTCACCCCCTCATCACATCAGATCACAGGGTTCTAATTAACTTCAGCACCGCATCAGACTGCAATCAGCAGAACCACAGAGGAAATGAGATTTTTTTTTTTTTTTTTCCTCCATGGCGCTCAAAAGCGTGGCGTAAAAATGCATATTAGCCTTGTGTTTTTAATTAACATTTTGTGCTTAGGAAGCATGTTAACAGTATCCCTTAATGAGCTTTGTGGAAAACAAGCCACACAGAGGACAAAGGGCAACTTCCCCCGTGTTTGCTGATGTGCTGTTCTTTATTCTAATACAATGAGATTAGTAATCACTGTTTAACCCCTCATTCAATATTGCCTCCACATAATCCCCACCCCTACCACTGTCTCAGTAGAATCGGACATTAGTTGTGATAGAGTGAGGCCTTTGTTTATTAGGGTGTTGAGTCGTGGAACGGAGATCTGTCTAGATTTGGACTTAGTTTACTGTGGGCATTTGTTCCTGTTGGACTCCTCACCCCTTCATCTACACGACATTATCCACACACCACTGTTGCATGGTCTAGAGTCCATTTGTTAAGTGTTATTTTCTACACACACATGCAGAACTACCTTTGCAGCTTCAAAATTAATGGATTTAACCATATTTTTCTTGCAGAAATGTGAAATATTTGGAACTTGTTAGGAGCTGTGTACATGTTCCTGCAAAGACCTCATTATTCAGGTCCCCATACTTGGTTTTTCTAGTGCTGGAAGGCCAAAACGTGTCTGAGAGCTCTCAAATAACAGTTAGTTGGACCTTGCTGCTGCTGCTGCTGGTGCTGCTGCTGTTGCTATCTGTCTTGATTGATTTCTCGTTGTATGACCCTAGCCTCCACCTGCTCTTATTACCATACCTTGTTATGGCATCTATGCATTTTGTGTATCCCTTGTCTCAGTGATATGTGTCTGCTCTGCGTAGCGCAAAGGGATTTGTTGCAGTCTCCAGTGAGTCCCTGTGCTGCTGTTTAGATTTGCTGGGGAATGCCCTCATGAAAACAAAGCCAACAGAGTATAGAGCCAGTTACGCTGGAAACCGTCACCCTCTGATGTTAGTGTCTCTAACTGAACTGTCAGTCTCTTCGTTGATGTAAAATCTAAACTTTGGGCTGTCCCAGAGAAAACTTTATTGTCAGTAACTAGAAAATTACTATTTTCTCATAGCGTCCAACTGTTCCAATAACTACTCAGTACAAGAATTCAACTTCTGCCTCCTGCAGGACTTAGAAAACATTGTTTCTTTGGGAGCGCTTGGAAGTATTTTTTTCCCTTCTAACGACTTGCTGAAATTTTGGAGATCCTGTCAATGGCTGCCAGCTCCTTGCTGGTTTATTTATTCCCTCTTGCATCCGACTGGTCAGTTATTTGTTTTCCACAGTGTCCTTGTCTGTTATAAATGGGACAGGCCTGTCACTTCCATGCTGAGAGGATGTTTTGAGTTCCTTGAAAGATTTTTATTTATTTAATTTTGTTAGAGCAGAGCAGTGAATAATGCATCTCAACCTGCTACATGTACTGTTTTTATCATTAGCATGCAGCCCGAGTTATCTGTAGAATACTTATGAGTACCGGCGAAATGTTTGTGATGTTATTTATTTATGTTGCTCCTTTCAATTATTCATTTGTTTATTTATTCATGGAAGAACTAACTGAAATTGGAAAATTCATTTTTGCTGAAGGGCACTTGGCCCCACTCTATCCTCTCCCTACACAAAGGGAAAGGAGGGGGTGGCACATCAGGCTTGTTAGTAATTGCTTTATGTGGTGTTCCCTTAGACTCACCAGAGAACATCATTTTAATCCAAGCAGATGGGTCAGCAGACGGAAAAAGACAGACAGGAAGAGAGACAAGTGAGGAAGTTGAGAGGTGGAAAGAGCATCAGAGAGAAAGTAGGGATGAGACTAATTCTGTGGAGGTTTTTTCCTTCCCAAAGCTTGTTCACTCAGGTAACATGCAGTGATAGGTAAGGAAATCAAATTTTCTGAACAGCCAGGCAGGACTCCACAGGTTGGACTGGAGGCTGCAGGTTCAGATAGAGAAGGAACATAATAAGCTGTGGTTGCCTTCGGTTGTATCCGTGCCTTCACGCTCTCCTGGCCTCCCCGTGTTATTGTGTGTTCACTGTGTTTTCTTTAATTATATAGAGTGGGATTTTGTTCAATTTCACACTTGCACAAACATGCAGCAATTATTCCTGATAAGTGATAACGATTCACTGAACTTTAAATGTGTGTGTGTTTGTGTGTGTGGGCAAGCATGCATGCATGTTTGTGTCTGTGGCATCGACTTTCGCCTTGTGTCATAAACTGCTCCTGGACACAGAATTCCAATTAGCATAAAACATAAAGGAAAAACAGATTTGTGTGTCTGTGTGCATCCATAATAATCACTGACCACTTATCACGTCTTCATTTTGGCATTGCTGTGTCCTTGAACCTTCTGTTTGCATGTCTCTGTGTTTGCATGTGTAGCTGGCAGTGCTGAAGCTGGAAGTTTTGATCCTGTGGACGGAGGTGGAGAATCGGAAACCAGAGCAGCAGAGAACAACTCCAGCAGGAAAGGTACAGTGCTCTCTCGCAGGTCTCACGTGTGTATGTAAACTCATATTTAGAAACCACATTCACCCACTCGTAGGTCACCACACCCTATGTCAAAGAGCTGTCTTTCTCACTCCCTGGGCTCTCAGTGAGACGTGTCTCCTAAAAACAATTTGTGAATAAAGTTAGAAGTCATTAGAACAGAATAGTTGCTATTATCAAAGCTGTCTTCATCTCTTTTCACATAGCCAATCTCAGTGTGAGAAAATTGTGCCATTGGCAAGATAACAATCCTACCAAATGAGAAGGGGTTACCAAGATGATCTTGGATGTTCTCCAGTTCTTATTCCTCATTTCTTGTTGATTCCTTTATCTGATCTCATGTTCAATCTTCTTTTACCGCAAAAAAGCTCAAAATGTCACAAAGCCAAAATACCCCAATAATACTTTTTTAACTTTTACTTTTTACGTTTTTTTTTCTTTTCTGTCTCAAGTTGCAAAGTCGCAAATAACATACCACGACCAGACTTGTAATATAAAGTGTTTTCAATAATGTGAGAATTTCAGTGTATGTGTGTGTGGCCTATAGATGAATGGCGACATCTTCATAAGATCTTACCCCTGACATATGAAGAGATGCTTTTCAAAATTCATATGGAGCCTATTTTTAACTGAAGTTCTTACTTGACAAAATGAAAACAGATAGACCGCAGGTTGTAGGTGGTTGGAAATGGCAGGCTTCAGCAAAAACCTTTTCCAAAATGGATTCTTAGCATCCTTCACATGTTCTTGAGCCTGGTATTGAAAGTACCCTGTCTTCAAGTTCAAGTTTTGCTAGTCAGTGTTGCTCACCAAAATACATCCTGGGTATCAAACATATGACACAATACGATACAATACGATACAATACGATACGATACGATATACTTTACTGTCCCCATAGGGAAATTTGTCTTGGACAAGTATTGCTGACTTACAGTGACATTCCAGAAGAAATGAAAAGCACACACCCTAAAAAAAACATACCACACATAACAGTATTGCACATCAGTCACGCATGTATTGCAAATAACACCAGCACACAACAGAGCACTATAAGCAAAACACAACACAAAACCACTTTGCATCAAGTGACATTATTTAAAAATTACAAACAATGTTTTTTTAAAAATTAAACATATTTAATCTTTCATCAGAATATCTGGAGAGTGGGTTTTGAAATATTCCAAGCAACTACAAGGAACTTTTATTTTGTGTTGATTATGGCGGCTCCTGTGGACAAAGGCGGTAGTATTTCCTTGGATGAAGAGTGCCTTTTCCCATTAGCACCACCGTCGTGTTGTAAAGATCTTGATCTGGCTGGTGCATGCATTTGTTTTGGAGGCAAGTGAAGGAAAAACACAACTTATTTTTGATAGTGTTTTTTTTTTAAAAAAAAAACAGCCATTTGCAGGGTCAGGGTTCAAATAAACCACTGTTGATTGCCTGGTGCCTGTTGGTCAGCACGCTCATATGACAGAGAGCTTTGTGGTGCTTACATTGCTCCACAAATGCAGCTCATGTTATCTCTATTCAACCAGTGTTTGCAAAGGCATTAGCTAGCTTTGTTTTAGCCACTAATGTAAAGTCATATATTGATATAAAATCACATCTGGGGATATATTTCATGAATAAAATGGACATAATACATACTTGTCTAGGGGGGTCAATTCAGGATCAGTTTCAAATCCTGCATTTCTCTCCATCTGTTCCATGACTGACCAAGGTTGACAAGGTGTTTTGCTCGTGCTCTATCACTGTCCCTTTCAGCTTTTCCTTTTCTCTTTGCTGATTTTGCCCCAGTATCAGTCATAATCACAAAATATAACATTAAAAAGAAAATTATTTTAAGCACAGTCTACTCATGCTTCTTCTTAGCTGGCTAATGCACAACATAGGCTCATTCAGTCTGCATGCTGTAAATTATTTAGTCTGATTTCACGAGGAATCAGACCTAAAGACAGGCATTAAGAATAACTGTTTAGAAATAGCCACTCTGCTTGTAGGTCATATAGAGGCATCAGTATTAAATTGAGTCTGTTTCATAACCATTTAAAACTCCTTGTAGCTGCTATAACATCCTGCATTGTTTATATTTATATTTAAGTTGATATGGTGAACCTGTTAGCAAAGAATTCCCTGTTTACACATCCAGCAGACATAGAGCGCCATTAATATTCACGTGGAGTTGTATTTTTTTGCCACGTGATGAAAAAAGTTCCAGTATTCACTCTCCTTTTAGCTGTGGTTTGGTCTTCACAAACTCCCCAGGGGAAATATCTGCCTCTTTAGCTGCTAAATGCTCCACAATATTCACCAGCTACTCGCTAACTTTGTCTGTCTGCTGTTTGGTGCTGAGCAGGGAGTGTACGGTGGGTTAATAGAGCTTTTTTTTTTTCTAAAAACAGCTGCCTGCTGCGTCAGAAAACAATGCTGCTGAGACGGGTGAGAGTGAACAAAAGAGTAAATTTGTGAGCTGTAAAATAAAAACAAAACTAGTTAAAAGGCACCGACATGTTCTAGAAAGCTAAGAAGAACTGTCAGGGGATAATTCTCTATGAGCTTTTATATGCATGTAGTCATATGATCCACTGCTATACATATATATAGTGGCAGCTTTTGCAGCTTTACAGATTGAAACAACTCACTTCAAGAGAGCAAAAGGTGAACAAGTCTATAGTCTGGCCAGAACAAAATTTACCACATGCCCTCAGTCTAATGAATTCTGTTAAAGATGCAATAGAAGTGGGCCTCATGAGGGTGGTCAGGCGTGTCACGCTCTCTTCTTCAAGGTGTCAACAAACAGCACACGGCCATGGAATGACAATTTGTATCATTTAATTAGAGCATGCTTCTCTTGGCACAGTTCATTTATTGTAATCTTGTTTATGCACCTTGATTGTTTCACAATATAGTTTTTTTTAATTAGCTCGGATTGATTAAATTGCATTGATTCTGTATTCTTATTAAAATAAACCCCCCGCCGCTCTCCTTCCTTATTTTTCATAATTAATGGTACAGTGTGCTGCTTTGGGGGAGGCAACAGTGACAGTGTTGCACATTTTGTAATCAAAGCAGTGGGTAGAATTATTTATTGTGGTGCCTGTCAAAGAGTAGCACATTGATAGGCATTTTATGAGTTTGCGGAGGTGTTGTGCGGCGATGAATTCAGATATGTGAATGTGCTGCTAACTTAAAGCACCAGAAGATGAGAAATTAAGCTGAGCTCACGTTTTGTTTTGTCCCAGTGTTCAGATACAGCCCCCAGACGCCACCCATCCACCCAGCACTGACCTTGGCCGTTAGCCATGTGGACATGTATGTAGGCGTGCACACATGCGTGCATACGTGTGCCTGCTAGTACAGAATCTCATTCCAAACCTGGGGCTCGTTTTAATTTTGATTGATGACTCCGTTTATCTTTGGAATAACAATCGTCTGATACCCCCCCACCACGTCGTAGACAACCTCCGTTTCTCCACATCATACCCCCCCCTAATTCCTCTCCCCATCACTCCCCCAGTATGAAAATGATATTAGAAACAAAATGAGATTTGAAATTTTGTGTTTGACAAGCAGCTTGATGAAAGGGTTTCATAGCTGGGCTTGATCCATGGAAATTTTATGCTAATAATACTGCTGGCCAAGCAATCTAGTTGGAAATTAATCAGGGGGCTGGATGGATAGAAGGAAAGGAGAGAGGAGAGGAAGGTAGGTTGCTCCATAAACACCCTTCCCCCTCCTCACCCTCATTCCCTCTCTCCAGCTCTGAATCTCATCAGAAATAGCCATGGGGTGTTGTCTGTGTGATGGGGTAGGGAAAGAAATAGGGAGTTAGAAAATTACACTGCAGCTTAGCACTGATTGATGCAGTAATGTATGCAGTAATGTATGCAGCCATGCAGCGAGCTGCCGTATTATGGATTAGACCTCTCCCCTTCTCAAGCAGTCCCCTTCCACATTAGAAAGGACACACACATGCACATTTAGAAACAGATACGCACACACCTCTTTAGCCATGTCTGTTCTCCTGTTATTATTCTATTTATCCTGTTCAGCCTTTGGTGGTGTCTTTCCTGCATGTATCATTTTCTTTGTTTTTTTGTGTGCGGTTAGGTGTGAATCTAAATAGTGAGTCAACAGACAGCCTCAGTGTTCTTTCCTCCGTGTCGTCACACTTTCTCTCACACACACAAATACACTGTTCGTCTCTCTGTATTTATTCTCTTCCTCTCTAAACCCTGGGAGTCATCATTACACCGAGTCGCTAATGAAGTCATTATCAGATTTCACTCGTTTAAAACAACACAATTAGTACCGAGGCCCTAATGATGTTTGCAAGTTAAATGCAAACGAATCGCTTTTTCCCCCCATTTCTCTGTCTCATTTCCTCTCTCCCGGCTTGCTGCTCAGTTGGAATAAAGAGAGTAAATGAATCACTGGAGTGTTTTGTGGATGTGGGTGTGTTTGTGGGTGCATATTTCTCAACCATGTTACAAGTCTGTGTGATTTATTATTTTTACCCCGAGAGACATCTGTTACACCATTCCTTATTTTTGTAATGCATCATCAGCCAGAGGAAAAACAATATTATCCAGTCTCGGATATTGTACTCTGGAGTCTAATAATCTAATGTACACTGGAGCTGGTGTCATTAAAGTGCCAGTGGAGCTGTAGGGAGATGGTAGGTACACATCTGTCTGTCTCTGAATCCCCACCGGTGCTCGTGCTCCATCCCACCACCTGCCCCAACGCAAATACACACAAACCAGAGCAAAACACAATGTTGCACACTCAGTCCCATAGCTAGTTCTGTTGCTGTTAGAGCAGTTTAGCCAGCAGGAGGCAGAACGGAGAAAGTGACCGGGTGCCGAGCTCCAGGCATCCTAGGACAGTTTGCAGTAAGTCCATGATAACACAGTTCTGCTTAGACTGCTGGGACTGGCTGCAGACTAGGTGGCTGGTACAAAAACACACAGGCCCTG